CAGACCGAGGCAGGAAATCTGAGATCAGCAAAGCAGTACGTGCATCTTTAGGCCAGTGGCTCAATTACTGATATGTCAGGCGTATTTCAGATTTGGTATATTATCATGAAAATATTCGGGGGAGGTCACCTGTATGTTCTTTCTAGCAAATTGTTGCTGGGTACAGATTGGGGAAGGAAGCCAAGGAAAGGGTGTGGTCTTAGTCTTCGAGATGGTAAATCTGGAATTTGACACTTGCACTGGGAAGTTTTATTATCTAAGATGGTTATTTTATCGTTCACTCCTTTCTGTTACTGCTCAGCAGGGAGCAGTTTCTACAGCCTTTTTACGTGGGTCCTACTTTAATTATCACCTCAAGCCACATCCATGGGCATCTTCTGACTTCCTTCTCCTGGGCATGGGGAGCCTGACCTCTCCTCCACTTTGGCTAATTGGTCTGAACTGTAAAAGTTTAAACTTTCCAAATGTGAACAGCTTGGTGTTTTCTTCAGCTCCTTTGACTGGTTCTCACTTCCAGGAAAGGATAGTTCGTCTGTGTACTTTGGAGTCCCTTGCCTAACAAAAACCTTTTACTGGATAAAACTATAAGATCTGGGCTCTAGAAGATCTGGCCTTGGTCCTTGACTTGTTCAGTTCCTGGTCTCTTACTCTCCCTGACCCTGGATGTTCGCGTTATCCTGCCCAAGTTATCACAGTTGCCTATGATTTGGTAGCGTTCATAATTACATTTCCAGCAATACCTTCCCATTCTTACCTCCGCCTGTCTCCAGCTACCAATTAAGTGCCCTTACTAGGATAGAGAGGATGATCCCATCACTCTTGAAATGATTTGTTTTGTTTTTTGGGTTTGTTTGTTTGTTTGTTTAGAGATTTTTGTTATAGGGCACATGTGCTCACTGGAGAGATGGAGAGAGACAGAGAGACAGAAAGCAAGAAATCTCCCCCAGAGGGGTGGCCATGCCACAATCCCTTCTCCTCCGTTCTCCTCCCGGGATCTTGGACACGTATATGCACATGAGCCTGGCATGAGTTTTTATAAGCCACCGGGTCCAGGACTCAAATCACAGTCTACTGTGTGAGAGTCCAGTGACATAACCATCCACGCTATCTGTGGTCCCATACTCAGCAGCTTGAAAAATTCATGCTGGGCATGTGTGCACGTGTGCCTAAGAGAAGAATGGAGAAGAAGGGACTGTGGCATGGCCACAGGGGGTGATTTCTTGCTTTCTGTCTCTCTGTCTCTCTTCATCTTTCCAGCGAGTGCATGTACCATATAGCAAAAACCTCTCTTAAAGAAAAGAAATGATTTGGATAAAGAGACATTGTGATACATTTTTTTTATTGTAATTTAGCCTTTAAAATACTCCTTGCCAGCATTTGCAGATGACCATAATCTGCAAGCATGGATCAAAATCACAGTGATGTCTGAACACCAAGACGATGTTCATGTGATTGAAATGAAATGTAGATGCACCTTGTTTTACATAGATGAGCTTCTGAACAAAAGCGAGCATGAAGGATGTGAATTAATTCATGATTTAAACCAACTAAGGGAACTTTGTTATTTAAAGAAATACTGGGCTAAGTTCTCTAGCAAAAGAAGAATTACTTGCACAAGAATATCTTGTGCAGATCCTTTTTCATATATCTGTTTTATTTCAAGCAAATATACTTGTGTGCTTGCTATCCAGGAGGGAGATGGGTGTATTTAGGACAGAGGAAATGACAGGTTAGCTATCTGTGCTGAGATTTGAGAATAGATAGATTGCTGGTACATGTTGGCCTGTCGGTTGCAGAGAAGTAGTGCTCTTGGGCTCCTTCTAATACCCACCTTTTGCTTTTGTGTTAGATCGAGCGGTTGGAAGTAAGCACTCTTGCCCAGACTTCCAGTGCAGTGGCCTCGAGCACTGATGGCAGCATCCACACAGATTCCGTGGATGGAACACCAGACCCTCAGCGCACGAAGGCTGCCATCGCTCACCTGCAGCAGAAGATCCTGAAGCTCACAGAACAGATAAAGATTGCACAGACGGCCCGGGACGACAACGTTGCAGAGTACTTGAAGCTTGCCAACAGTGCAGACAAGCAGCAGGCCGCCCGGATCAAGCAGGTCTTTGAGAAGAAGAACCAGAAATCTGCTCAGACCATCCTCCAGCTACAAAAGAAGCTTGAGCACTACCACAGGAAGCTCCGAGAGGTGGAGCAGAATGGGATCCCCCGGCAGCCAAAGGATGTCTTCAGGGACATGCACCAGGGCCTGAAGGATGTGGGCGCAAAGGTGACTGGCTTCAGTGAAGGTGTGGTGGATAGTGTCAAAGGAGGATTTTCCAGCTTCTCACAGGCCACCCATTCGGCAGCAGGGGCTGTGGTCTCAAAGCCCAGGGAGATCGCCTCGCTGATTCGGAACAAATTTGGTAGTGCAGACAACATCCCTAACTTGAAGGACTCATTAGAGGAAGGACAAGTGGATGAAGCGGGGAAGGCTTTGGGAGTGATTTCGAACTTTCAGTCAAGCCCCAAATATGGTAGCGAGGAGGATTGCTCTAGTGCCACTTCAGGCTCAGTGGGAGCCAACAGCACTACTGGAGGCATCGCTGTAGGAGCATCCAGTTCCAAAACAAACACTCTGGACATGCAGAGCTCAGGATTTGATGCACTACTGCACGAGATCCAGGAGATCCGGGAAACCCAGGCCCGGCTGGAGGAATCCTTTGAAACTCTCAAGGAACATTATCAAAGGGACTATTCCTTAATAATGCAGACCTTACAGGAGGAGCGATATAGGTAAGTCACATGGAATTAAAGTCCAGAGGTGATGGTTCAGTGTTTCCTTTCCTTTTGATGTGAAGAAGTGGCTTTGAAAGGTCTTTGTCTCTCTCTGAAGTCTCCAGAGCACCGGAGATACATCACAGGACATCCACACATGTGCCTATTTCACAGAGGGCAGAATAGAGGCATAGCAAAGATAAGAGGCTCCACGGTTATGGACTGATGAACTCTTTAGTCAGGGGAGGAAGCAGCATATACCTCTCCAGTCTTCCATGGCAGCTTCTGACTTTAAAATGAAGCCCAGGCCTTCTAAAGCACTCCACCCACTTACATTTACAGAGCCGCACAGTCATTGCAGCCTGTAACTGGACCACACTGAATTCAAAAGATCCGTAGTTCTCAGAGCTCTGTAGAAATCAAAGATGTAACTCAGCCAAAATGCCATGAACCTGCAGATATTTGGCCTTAAACACACTTATCTGGGCAAGTGTTGTAGAAAGATTAGAGTAGGAGTAAACCCAGATAAGCATGTCTGTTACCTTTACTATGAATTGGCACACGTATGAATTGGGAGTGAACTTCAACTTGACATGGTTCTACAGTAGAGAATTCTCTAAGGGCTAAATGCTTTAGTCACAGTCTGTGCTAAAGGTCTCCTTTTTGTGTTTTCTGCTATACTGCACGTTCATATTAGACCACTCTCAGCCATTGTGTCCTCCCCCATTGCCATCACACGTGGAGAGAAACAATGACCCCCAGTTAGTACTCCTTCAGATTCAAACTTTGTTAGCCACAAACAGGCCCCTCATGGTACGTCTTAAGGAACTAGTTTCATGGGAGCCACCAATCAGGTTAGGCCTCCAAGGACCGGGGTTCTGGTCCTACCCCAGTTATCACCGAGGGAATCCTCAGTACTTGCACCATAATGTCAGAGATGGACCAGTCTCTTCCAACTCTTAAAAAAAATGACGTTTAAAAGTTCTCTTTTATGAGATAATCTGAGAGTCTAATAAATTATTTGCACATATCATTTAGCTCTGAGAAAAGATATAGCAGTAAACTCTTTTCAGATGGTGAAAATGCTAACCAGTAATTTAATCTTGCCTCTTCACTCTTCTGTGCCTCAGTTCTAACAAGATTTCAAGGGGGAGAAGTGAGTGTGGGAAAGAGAAATGAAGTTCTAAAAGCAGATACATTACTATTTTTATTTAAGCATTTTATATATTCTTTAATATACTGAGAAGATGTGGTCTATAGTAGCAGGCAGTCTTTTTTAATTATTTAATTTAATTTTCTTCTTATTTTTTAAATTTTACCAGAGAGAGAGAGGGAAAATGAGAAATTCAGATGCCAGGTCCAGGAATCGAACCATGGTCAGCCATGTGGGAGTCCAGCACCTTAATCTCCATGCCACCTGCCAACCCTTAGTAATAAGCAATCTTTTTTTTTTTTCTTTCTTTTCTTTTTTTTTTTTTTTTTTTTTTGTGGGGGGGTTTTTTTTTTTTTTTTTTTTTTTTTTTTTTAGAACAAGTATAATTAACCACACACACAATCTATTCATTGTCCTATGACCTTTGTAATTTAGTTTCATATTCTGAAACCACTTCTCTTAGGCATGCACACACACGCGCCCAGCGTGGGTTTAGCCACTGGGTCTGGGACTCGAACCGCGGTCAACTACATGGGAGTCCAGCGACATAGTCATTACACTAACTACTGGTCCCAGTAGTAAGCAATCTTAAATACTCAGAACTCAACAAACGCCTGAGCCTTTATACCATATTGAACCTGACTCCTAGGTTCAAATTCTAGTTCTCCTTAACTGCTTACTAACCTTGAAAACCAGGCAAGATTTCTAATTTCTCTACATCTTGGATTCCTCATCTTTAACACAGGAAACTGGTGGGTCATCAGAAAAGTCATACACATTTTTACATAGAAGAACATTAAAAAATACATCATGACTTTTCCAACAGCCCAATAGTAGTTCTCCATGAGAGAATTAAGACGTCAAAATGAAGTAACACAGGTAAAACAGTAGCCAGGGCCCAGTGCTCGGTTGCTATTCAGTAGGAGCCGCTAGCTTCCCTCTGAACTGGAAGACTGGGCAGTCCAGTCAGTTGCTCAGAAAGACAGCTACCTGCCTTGAAACCTTTATTCTGAATAGATACTTCCAGTTGCTAAATGCCTCCAGAGCTCGAAAATCATCATAGAGCTTGTTAGGTCTTCAAATCGGATAGAGACCAATGTGAAAATTCTAAGACGGGAAAGCACAGGTCTCCCAAGGCCCACCCATGGAGCCAGTTAAAATAAGTCAGACACCAGACAGAACTTCAGCTCCTCCTTTCCCCTCCTCAGACGAATCAAATCAAAGCCCCTTAAGGGGTAATAAACAGTACATTTCCTTCCTTGTACTTTGGGTTCTCTGTGGTAGGTAAGTAACTCGTTCTTTTGGAATAAAGAGGAAAAAAGGAAATTTATGAATTTTCTAAAAGGGAGGTAAACCATGCAGGAAAAACAAAAGACGTGATGAGCGTCTCCCTCATGTTTGTCATTCTGCTTCAGCTTCACAGTGATTTTCCCTTAAAACCAGATCTTGAAGAAGGAGAGCCATGTTTGTCCAAGAAAGGCGGTGGGGAAGCCACAGCCATTGTCCTCAGCCATCTTGATGCACCAGCAACGCCCCCACACAGCAGTTAGCGATCTCCCTCTGGTACAGCGATCTCCCTCTGGTACACGTCTCTGCACAGTGCGTGTACTGAGCTCACTGCTGGTCTCTGAGTGCTTTCACATGAGTGAGTTTTCCCCCACAAATTGAAGCCTGTTTCAAGCACCAAAACTTCACATTTTGTGCCTTTGGGAGAACTCCTCTGCTTGCGTCTAACGAAGTACACTGAACTAGCGTGGTGGGAGTAGCTGAGAGCAGCAGTGCCGTCGTATGGCGCGATGCTCTCGGTTAGAGAGGCTGTACGCTTGTACGCCTTTGACAGTAAATGGTCCTACGCTCTTTTTAGTTCCCGTGTCTGCTTTTTATAGCCTGTTTTTCTCCATTCCACATCTCCTCCACAGTTAGTGAGCTGTCTGCCACAGTCTTCCTTTACTAATTCTGTCTCTGCTCTGTTGTAGGTTTTGCTTTCTGTCTAGGAAGGAAGTAGGGTAGGAGTGGACTTCACAGGCTCCTCTACCAGAAACCAGTTCATGTGTGCATGGCTGCTCCAGATGCATTTTTGGCCTATGCTTTACTTTATCTTACTTGTAGTTGACAAGGTAGGCCGTGCTCAGTGTCGTTATTTGGTGATGATGAGGACAGCATCCCACCAACAGCATTTACTAGAGCCCTGTAATAGGCATAATGCTGGGTGCTTTACACTTTTTTTTCTTAGTTTGCTATAGGGCATGTGAACTCACCAGAGAGAATGAGAATCACCCCCCACACAGGATAGCCACAATCCCTTCTCCGTTCTCCTCAGGATTTTAGGCGTGCATGCACACATGCTCAGTGTGTTTCTCAAGCCACCAGGTCTGGGGCTTGAATCACGCAGTCAGCCAGGTAGTATCCAGCTGCCTTAACCACCACACCACTGGCTGACCTACTAGATGCCTTGTGTAACCTCACAATAGCCCCATAGGTGGCTTGTATTGTCTCCATTTTACAGATGAGGGAATTTAGGCCAGTGGGTTTTTTCATTTTGTTTTGTTTTTAATTTTACTTTGTCTAAAGGTCACTTAGTAAGTGATAAGTGGTAAAGCCAGAATTCAAACTCAGTTTTATCTAACTTCAAATCCACTGTTCTTCTCATACCTGGACACCTTTTTTCCCAGCTCAACCCTGAAGTCTGTATCGTTGAAAGACTAGTGTATCTGTATGAAGCATTAGCTGCATTGGCTATGGGTATTGGGCAGTCTTTCTCAGGTCAGAGTGTGTTCACAATAAGTCAAGTCACTGTCTTTAACATTTTATAAAATTCTGTGAATATGCAAGCTCCAGAAAGTTTCTCCAAGCTAGTCTCGTAGCTATGCCTACTAAAGCAAAGCCCTCCCCAAGCCATCACTCTCCCCTCCAGAGCCCCTTCTCAGTGTCACTCACTCAGCATGCTCCCCTCGCTGCCGACCCCAGTGGTAATGGCAGCAGGTCAGAGCAGTTGCCGAGACCATCTGCTTCACCCTGCAGTGGTCAGAGGCGTTCTGAAGCCTGTGGTAGTCTCTGTGCGCTCTTCACCATGTGGCGTACCACAGCTGATGCAGTACTCTCGGCACTCAGATGCCCTTAGCCCAGTTCACCATCCAGAGGCTGGATCTGAACTCCACGCAGCCTCCAAGCAGTAAAGAGGCATGAGTCTCTGAGCCTCGCTTCCAGCTCTCTGACAGGAATGATGTGGTGTGCTTGAGGGAGGTCGGAGGCAGGTTTAGACGGCCTTTCAGTGATGGGATCTGTGCTGACTTCGGGTTAGCCCTTCGCTTACAAGAATCTCTTGTCCAACTGTCTCTTGGTCCCACTAAAGTGTTAGTGGCATCGGGGTTCACAGTCCCCAGAGGAAGAAGGGATCCCTAGGTGCCCAGTTGGACCTCATTTACAGATGTGTACACTGACGCCCAGGGAGAGAAAGTGACTTTTGCCAGGTCACACCATAAAACGATTTCATGTTTATCTAGTTTTCAGCGAAAAATTGTCCTCGGTTTTTCAGTGGGTGTAATATATTAAGAGGCTGCCGAAGGAGAAAGTCCGGCTCCTGCCTGGCCTGGCGTGGGGGCGGACGACGGCCCTGCTTGTGCGGTGAGCTTTAGTGCCACTCGGAACGCTTCTATTTTAAGGGGATTCCTGTCCCTTGGAAATCAGCTTCTGAGAATGTTTGTATTAAGCCCAGGGATATTTTAAATTGTACTGAGTCATAAGAGCAAAAATACAGAGGCAGGCAGTCACCAGGAGCAGCCGTCACAGGCGGTAGCACAGTTAGTAACTGGGCTAACCCAGGCACGGCCCGTGGGCGTTCCGACTGGACAGAGAGCCGTTTAGC